AAAATCAAGAACATTTCTATAGAGGTTTCAACTATTTCTTAGGAATTCTTATGGTAGAAGTTTGCAAAGATCAAAGAGGAAGTTAAATCATACCTTATGTGACCAGAATTACTTAAAAATCGAAATTACTTCAAGGCGGAGTCTTGCTATGAAAAGTGAAACACCGAAGAATTCACGATTCCGAAGCTACCATAGTGTTCTCCATCTTGAGGATGACTAAATTGTTGTTATGATTGGCTAGATGGATGGGAGGAGTTTGAGAGGAAATCCCTAGGTTTTTGGTTCTGTTTTGGAGAGGATAAAACGCAGGGGTTCTGTTTTAAAAATTGACTTAAATAAAGAAAGTTTAACAAACCCGACTAGGCACACTGTTTTCGTAACAGTGTGCACCCCTGTACGAAAATGTTAATATCTCTCTACTCCGAAGTCGTATTAACGAACGGTTTGTTGCGTTGGAAACTAGACTCATAGACCTTCGATTAGGTAGGTAGAACACACCATAACTCCCAGTATATTGAGATAAAAGCTTAGCATATAACTATCGCATCATAACTATCGCATCATTTAAATATCTCATAGAAATTATCTTCCTATCGAATTAGCCCATTTTCAGCATGATAACGCCGAATACACAAGGTGTAACATTCTCCCCTCCTTAAGAACATTCGTCCTCGAATGTTAACGGTTAACCTAACTTCTGAATTATTTTTTAAAAAAAATAATTTCGCCAGTGTTTCCCCTATAAATAGGAATATCCAAAACCTGTCATCAAACCAAACATACATATCTAAGGCCAGACAGGGTTGCACATCATAATAATAACATCAACTTGGCCTCACACGACCATTTACTTATACAATAATGATAATAAGAAGGTTAGCCATAACTTAATTACCTCAACTGTCACTGGTTGATATATGTGCAACACCTGCCATGTTTGTCTCAGGCATATCACCTGAAGACTCAAATAAATGAGGGTATCTGGACTTCATGTCCTCCTCGGCCTCCCATGTCATTTCCTCTACATTATTGCTCCTCCAAAGTACTTTTACTGAGGCTACCTCTTTAGTCCGTAGCTTACGGATTTGACGGTCAAGAATGGCAATAGGTATTTCTTCATATGACAAGTTCTCGGAAACTTCAATATCCTCGATAGGGCTGATGCAAGAAGNGTATTTCTTCATATGACAAGTTCTCGGAAATTTCAATATCCTCAATAGGGCTGATGCAAGAAGGATCACCTAAGAATTTCCCAAGCATGGAAATATGAAATACCGGATGGATTGCTTCTAATTCTGGTGGTAGGTCAAGTTTGTAGGCTACTCGCCCAATTCTCTGAACAATCTGATATGGCCCAACATATCTAGGGCTGAGTTTTCCTTTCATACCAAATCTCATTAAAACCTTCATAGGCGACACTTTCAAGAATACCCAGTATCCCACAGCAAATTCCAAGTCTCGACGTCGGTTATCTGAATATGATTTCTATCGACTTTGAGCTGTACACAACCTTTCCTGGATCAACTTTACCCTTTCTACAGCTTGCTGTACCAATTCAGGTCCTAGCAACTTTGTCTCGCCAACATCAAACCAGCCAATAGGAGATCTGCATTTCCTCCCATATAGTGCCTCATAAGGTGCCATCTGAATACTGGCGTGATAACTGTTATTGTAGGCAAACTCAATAAGCGGTAAATGATCTTCCTAACTTCCCTTGAAGTCTAAGACACAAGCTCGCAACATATCTTCGAGTGTCTGAATAATGCGTTCGGCTTGTCCGTCGGTATGCGGATGAAATGTTGTACTAAGGTTAACAAGAGTACCCAAAACTTCTTGAAAAGACCTCCAGAAATTAGTNTATCATGAGTCGGATAATTGTGTTCGTGCTTCCACAACTGCCTCGAAGCATATGCAATAACTTTTCCATGCTGCGTTAGAACACATCCCAATCCAACCCTCGATGCATCACAATATACCACATAACCTTCAGATCCTTCAGGACTAGAACAGGTGCTGATGTTAAGCGTTTCTTCAACTCATGAAAGCTCCTTTCACATGCATCAGACCATTGGAACTTAACGGCTTTGTGTGTCAATTTTGTCATGGGAGCAGCAATAGAAGTGAAGTTCTCAACACATCTCCGATAATAACCAGCTAAGCCCAAGAAACAACAAACTTCCGTAGGAGTTGTGGGTCTAGGCCAGTTTTGTACTACTTCAATTTTCTGACCATCTACCTTAATACCTTCATCGGAAACGATATGCCCAAGGAAAGCTACTGAATTCAACCAAAATTCACATTTGGAGAATTTAGCATATAATTTCTAATTTTTCAAAGTCTGCAACACCACACGCAAATGATCCTCATGTTCTGCTTCTGATCGAGAATATACCAGAATATCATCAATGAAAACAATTACAAATATATCTAGAAATGGCTTGAAACCCGATTCATTAAATTTATAAAAGTTGTTGGCGCATTAGTAAGACCGAAAGACATCACAAGAAATTCATGATGGCCATATCTAGTCTGGAAAGCCGTTTTCGGAATATCTCTCTCCTTAACTCGCAATTGGTGATAGCCGGATCGAAGGTCAATCTTTGAGAAATATTTGGCACCTTGCAACTGATCAAACAAATCATCAATTTTGGGTAAAGGGTACTTGTTCTTGATAGTCACTTTGTTGAGCTGGGGATAGTCAATACACATTCTTAACGAACCATCCTTCTTACGAACAAACAAGACTGGTGCACCCCATGGAGATGTGCTGGGCCTGATAAAGCCCTTATTCAGAAGATCCTTCAACTGGGCTTTCAATTCTTTTAACTCAGCAGGAGCCATTCTGTATGGAGGAATAGATATTGGTTGAGTATCTGGAAGCATATCAATATCAAAGTTGATTTCTCTTTCTGGAGGAAGACCAGGAAGTTCATCAGGAAATTCATTCACGACGGGAACTGATTGAAGAGTTAGAGATTTCACCTCCATATCATGCACTCGTACCAAATGATAGATGTAACCTTTCAAAATCATCCTTCGAGCTTTAAGGTAAGAAATAAACTTTCCCTTAGGCGCTACAGCATCACCTTTCCATTTAATAATAGGCTCACTTGGAAAATTAAAACAAACAATCTTTGTCCAGCAATCTACATTGGCATAACAAGAAGCCAGCCAATCCATACCCATAATGATATCAAAATCAACCATTTCTAGCTCATGCAAATCAGCTAACGTATGGCGGTCATGATCTTCACGTCACAACTTCGATATACCCGTCTAACTACAACAGACTCACCCATTGACGTAGATACCTTAAAAGATTTATGCAACAATTCAGGCTCTCTATCCCATTTACTAGCAACGAAGGGGGAGATATACGACAATGTAGAACCAGGATCTATCAAGGCATACATATCGATAGAAAAGACGGATAGTATACCTGTAACCACGTCCGGAGATGACTCTAAATCCTGACGACTCGATAAAGCATATATGCGATTCTGCTGACCTCCTGAACCAGAAGCTCCAAATCTTCCCCTACCCCTGCCAGCTGATGTCTGCATACTCTGCCTAGGAGGACGTACCGAAGAAGAAAAAAAAGCCCATGCAAATGCCGTCAGCTGAGCCATACCCCCTCCACCTGTCACCGGACAATGTCTCATAATATGACCTGGCTGTCCACATGTATAACATGCATCAGAACCCTGGAGACATGGTCCAAAATGATTTCGGCCACATCGATCACATCTAGGAAACTAAGGCCTCATCTGACTGAACTCGCCTCTAAACTGTGGACCTGGGGTCCGTGAACTCTGACCTGGACCAGAATAAGTGATCTGATCCTGTCGTTGTCCTTGAAACTGTAGTGGTGCACTGGCTTCCAAATAAGACTGACGCTGGGGAAACTGTGGCCTAAATCCACCTCGAAACTCTCCTATGTTACCTGCGAACCGCGCCCTCTTCTGCTTCCCTCTATCATGCTCTCGATTGACTTGTTGTTTCCTCTTGCAATCCTCTAGACCCTGTGCAAATGCTTGAATACGGGCAATATCCATTCCTTGGTTTAGAGAAGCTGTAGTGCACTCATTTATCAAGTGTGCCCCCAAACCACTAACAAACTGGTGTACCCAATCACTCATATCAGCAACGATCGTAGGAGCATACCTAGCCAAAGAGTTGAACTGCATGCTATATTCCCGAACGCTCATATTACCCTGTTTTAAGTGTAAGAACCTATCTCGTCGGGCTCTTCGAAGCTCGATTGGCAAATATTGTTGTAAAAATGCCTCATAGAACTCCTTCCATGTCACTGGTGGCATATTAGGCCCCTGAGTCTGCTTCCAAGTCTCATACCATGTCACAACAACATCACGTAGTCTATAAGAAGTAAACTCCATTGACTCAACATCCGTGGCATGTATAATTTGTAAGGTCTGTTGCATAAGATCCAGAAACTCCTGTGGGTCAGCATTAGAATCAACCCCTGTAAATACTAGAGGATCCAAGTTGATAAAGTCCCGAACTCTCGCACTCACGGACCTATCAGCAATACCAAGGTTCTGGTGTTGGGCCTGGGAGGCCACTATTCGAGTCAGCAATTGTACAGCACTCCGCATGTCTAGGTCCTGATCAGGAACAACTGGGAGAGGGACTGGAGGTATGTTAGCTCCTTTACTCCCTTCCGAGGGTGGTGGGGGTACTGCCCCGGAAGCCTGAGAATCAGCCTCATTCTGTGGCTCATGTTGATCTACATTAGCAGGTGGCACCTGACTTGTGCCCTCTCCCGCCTCCTCATCCAACCTATGAATAAATTTCATAGCCACTTGTCGTCTCGTAGTATTAGGCATCACTGATAAGGTAAACAAAAAGAGAATTAGGAATGAACACTTATGATTAGGCTCTATTGCACGATCTAGATCAAGAAGAAAGTAATAATCCTAAATGCCCAATAGCCTCATGTTTATAAGTGTGGTGCATAATACACCATAAATAAGATTCTACTAGACACGGCTTGTAGACTCCCTAGGACTGACCTGCTCTGATACCAAGTTTGTCACATCCCAACCTTGGGAGGTGTGGCTGGCACCCGATGCCCGAAGGCCCGAGCGAACCAACCATAAGATATGATCTGAAATANTATATATATACAATGACCGCTAGTCTGCAAGCCTCTAAGAGTGTAAGACAATCTCAACAGGGAGATACAAAGCCCCCGACATGCCCAAAACCACACATATACATCTATAAAAGTACCTATGGACTCAAAGTCAGCAACTCCGAAGAAGTGGAGTGCGAAACCCAACGCTGATCCTGGGGGTCCTACTGAGGAGGCACGTCGCTCTATCTATCCGAACCTGTAGGCATGAATACAACACATAAAAATGTGTCAGTACGAAATATGTACTGAACATGTAGGGCGACAAGTGTAACATGAAAATTGTATTAACAAGAGAAGAGACATAGAGAATTTGAATTCTGAAACTAGCCTCGGTAGGAAACTAAAATTCAACATGGATATAAATGTATGC